TCCTAACATCTGGACGTTGAGTTTTCAGTGCGAGAAACATTTCACCAATCATCCAAGTGACTTCTTTTGTCTCATCTGACTGCAGGTTTCCCCAACTTTATTAAGTCGACTTGTACCACAAGCCAACACATATAAATCAGTATTTAAGGTTTGATTCTCATCATCCACTGGAGCACAAACTGGGTGTTATCGGGACGCTACTACACAGAGCGAACACAATCCCCAGAGACACTGTGAAAAACGAAGCAGATGAACATCATATCAAAAAGCCCAGAGTAAATGTGGTTATCCCAGCTAGACATTTGACAAAACTTGGAAAGGCTTTCAAATCCCACCACAAGGATCAGGCTCCCAGCTGCAAACAGAGGAATATAGTGTACGCTGTTAACTGCCGGGAGGATTGCTGTGTATATATATAAAAGGGAAAACGAGTCCTAAGCAGACCTACAGGCCAGTGGACATTGTTTCAATGATGAGCATGTACACATCCTGGACAGGGGGGAACGCTCTTTTGAGCGGGGAGTCAAGGAGGCCATTTACGTGAAAAGGGGCCATCTCTGAATCGAGGAGGCGGCCTAAGGGTACATATTTCACCATCTTACAATGCTGTGATCGCAGCCATTCCCCAACTCTCTGTGAATAATACTGGTGGCTATTGGTCAATGGTCATGACAATTTGCATATTAATGATCATGAAACTGACCTCATGGCCCATTGTTAGTCATTATTAGTCAGTAGTTCTACTTTCAGTCATTATGCAAATATGCTGTTTATGATGTTGGGAAACCTGAAGTCAGCCGAGACTGAAGAAGTCAGTCAGATGAGTGACAAAACATTTCTCCACTGAAAATGCCACCACAAGATGGCATCGTATTAACCCCCTTTTTGCCTTAAAGTCAAGTTCTTGTTAGAATATTCAAATTCATGTCACGCTGCTTCTTGTGTGTCTCTTCTGTTGAGGTGTTTGAGTAAGGGCATGAATGCCATCGTGGAGATCCAGACCCAGAGGCCCGTGTCATTAGAGCTGTACAAAGACTTTAAGGAGCTGGGCCGCTTCATGCTGCGATATGTTGGCTCTACCATCGCCGCGGGGGTTGTCACTGAGGTAATGAGTTGGATCCTGTGGCAAAATATTCCCACTTCCCCTGTTTAATAAAGTACTCTTACTCCATTTAATTTTTCTTTCCTGCAGATCAAAGAATGAAGACCATTTCCGCCGACACAGAGCCAGCTAGCCTGACCTTGCTCTGGAGACTGCATGCAGCCAGAGACAAAGTGCAATTCAAAGAGATCAAAGAAACGCCGCTCATGGCGACAGAGCGTCTTATTCATCCATCCATTTATCCAATCAGTGTAGCAGCTGCCCCACCTGTCTGCCCTGAACATCACTAACTGCACAGATACCAAGTGCGTGGCAAGATGTCACAAAATAAACTCCCAATGCATCCGCCACCTCTCACATGTCAACTCAGTGTTGCTGAGCATCATCCTCAGTCATACAGGCGCACTACCCAGCTCCTGCTCACTCCACCTTTATCTGTCAGTAAAGCCTGTTGCTCTTGAATTGATTCCACTTGATTAAACCAATGTTTTCTTTAGACTCTGAGAAACCAATCCTATCCTGCTGAGCATCTCACAGTGATGAGTTTAACTGTGTTCTTTTTGAAGGAGCTGTAATAAATCGGATAACACTGACTTTTATTTTAGGAGTGAAAGAACAAGTCCATGTTTTTCCCCTCTCTGCTTCTATGCATGAGGGGTCAGCACTGGGTTTACACTGCCCAGTTTTCCTTGATGAGGCTTTTCTAATCAAAACTAAAATTAACTATTGTAATTAATGTTACGTTATGTGGGATTCTAAAGGGCAAAATAGTATCTTTTTTTTAATAAACTAGAACTATTTTTTTTTTATTTTAATTTTAATAACCGAAGGGATGAAGTTTAATGCATTCAAATGTTTACTCTAACCAGGGTGGACTAGTTTAAGAACAAAAAAGTGAAAATTATCATTTCCACTTGGAGAAGGCATTTCTCATTTATGGTGAAACAATTATTACTGATTTTCTTCTGCAAATCAGCAGAAAGATGTTGTTTGAAGACCTGGTTTGATTTCCCTCTTTATTTCTTTTTCTTTTTTTAAACAAAGGCTCATCTGAGTGCAGTTTGGGGTTCAAAGAGTTGTATCATTTCTGTGCAAAAAAAAAGAAATAAGAAAAAATGCAAAATGAACATGACATCAGCAACTTGTGGTGTGAGTTTTGATTTCTGCATCTGAGAAAGTCCTTTCATCTAGTGACTTTTCGTTATTATAATCCCATAAGCCAAGAAAAACAAACCTTTCTGGAAGGGCCATCTTCAGTAAAAGTGTTGCATGTGAAGTTGAACAAAGCTTGGCTTTTGTCCTGACAGTCTCACAGCTAGAATGTAAATGCCGGCTTAATAATGTGAAATAATTTTACAAAATGCTCACAGTTGTGACCCACACACACACTTTTTTTTTTAAAGCTCTGACGCATGTTGACGAACAACCTACTCATTGTCACCTCTAATTGCGCACAATTTAGGGTGAGAGTTCAGTGAGAGTTAAGTTTCCATTCTCCTTTTCTCTTTGGAAAAAACAGAAATATAGTGGTTGTTTTTTTTTGCGTAGGTGCTAATGTGACGTTCCCTGAGGTAAAACGGCTGAAGAGATGAAATATGAAAGGACGAACGTGTCCTATAGAGCGAGTATACAAGAATTCTCCAAACACAAACACAATGATTCATTATATCGTTCAGCAGTTTTTGTCACTGCGTTAACAAATGCATGCGGGCCATGACCATGTAACTTCTTAGTATCTTCTTTTAGTCCATTCTATTACATTTTCTTGTGATTGTTGCCAGCTTATAGACCGTAATGACATGATAGCATCACACAGTTGCTGCAGATTTATCAGTTGCAAATCTGTAATGCAAATCCCATTCCTCCACATCCCAAAGATGCTCTATTGCAAAACCTGTTAGTTGTTATCTTGCTTGAAGCAGCCAGCACAAGATGTGTACGTTGTTATTCTAAAGAGATAGACATGATCAGCAACAATTCTGGGATAGGCTGTGGGGTTTTAAACAATGATGTCAGGATTAGAACCCAGTGTGGTCTGTTGCTGCAGCCCATCTGCTTCAAGGTTCAATGTGCGAGTTCAGAGATTCTTTTCTGCAGACTTTGATTGTAACAAGTAGTTGAGTTATTGTCATAAACATCAACAAGACATTTTCACCCAAAGAACTGCTGCTTTGGATATTTTCTCTATCAGGCCATCCTTTGTAAACCCTGGAGATCAGCAGTTTCTGGAATACTCAAACCAGCATGTCTGGCACCAACAATCATGCCCTATTTAAAGTCACTTAAATCCCTTTTCTTCCCCATCCTGATGCTCAGTCAACTTCAGCAGGTTGTTTTGATCATGTCTACGTGAGTAACTGTACAAGGTGCTGCCACTGGATGATTGGATACTTACATTAATATAAATGAATGTACATAAATATTATAATGAACTACATAGGTGTAAACTGTATATGTATGCTTTGGGATTTAACTTCATGGAACTGGTGTCTATGTCAGTAAGTGATCTTTAAGTCATTCACAGGCCTCAGGAAGAAATCCTGCACTAGTGAGCAACTCAGCGTGAAAGTTGCTTAGTTGCCACAGGATGTTAGTGGTCATTACGCAGACACGCTACTCACCTTACAGGAAAATATATGTGCTGCAAAAAAAAAACCAGCAAAAAAAAAAAAAAAACCAGGAGTAGGAAAACGATGAGAACTTTTGTTAGTGGTATGAGTTTTTTTGGCTCATATCATAATAGTGAATCACGTTCTCTGTAAGTGGATGAGTAATGTGATGGCTTCGTGGGCAGTCGCCTTTGAATCAGCACTTCCTCAAGGAGTTGTGTACACAAATACAGTTGAAAGCACTTTAGGTGCTGTAAATTATGTTAATGTTTTTTGTTTTTGTTTTAAAAAAAAAAAACCCACATAGTTATATCTTTTCATTGAGGTTCAGATATTAGCAGTGTTGGATTACAACCATGTACACATTGTACAGTCACAGAAATATAGCCACAGTTATAAAGGTGCAAAAATGTCCGTCTGTAAGGTATAATAGCAGAGACGTCTCTTCTCCAGGTATCACTAAACTCACCATTTGGACTTGGCGACTGTGAACCAACACATTTCCTTTTGCTTTGCTATTTGCGAGTAGGGTCATGCTTTAGAGCTACACAAGCTGATGAATGACCTCTTTTTAGTTTCAAAGAGACATGAAGGGTATTTCCCAAAACCTGACCTGCATAGATCCATCCTCTTGGTCTCCTCCTCAGTCATACCGGTTACATGATTGCCTCAGAAGCCCCATGCACTAAACTGTGAACTGAATGATCAAATTGAGCTAGCGCTGCAAAACCTTATGAGGGGTGTGGATGTTTAATTTTTTTATGACCAAAAAGAATGAATTAGTGTAATTTATAGTTGAAATATATCAGTAGAATTCAGCTAAGGGGGTACAGTGACATCCCTCGGCTGCCCTGGACCTCCAAGGCCCATCCAAGATTGTGAGGCCATGCATGCAATGTCCATTTAAACTTATAGACAAGTAAATAGTGTCATGCTACACATACCTGACATTTGTGTCTGTCTTTCTGAAACAAAACGGCTTCACCTCATTCATTTAACCACCAGCAGGAATAGTTCACCCAGTTTTATGATATATGAAGCAGCCTGTGAGAATAAACATAAAACTTTTCAGACCTCTGCAGTTTTTCTAAACACACCTAAAGTCACTCAGATGCTTGAATATTGTCTATGAACACTGGAAAGCCACATTTATCTTAACTATCTGACCTTTGTGGTGAGCAGACATATTGCCATGCTATTAATTAAGGTTCTCTTTAAGATACTCTGTGTAGAAAAAGTGTTTATTCTTTCAGGCTCAAAGATCTGTGTGAATAAGGTCTGATAAAGAGTTAGGTAATAGGATCATCAGAGAGTAAGCCCCTCCTTTGGAGGCCCAGTGTTTGTCAGGTTAGCAGTACGTGCAGTCATCGTTTTCTCTGGGAAGTGAACTGGTGTTACTTTGGCGCCTGTAATTAACAAGCATGTTGAAAACTTCAGAAGAGCGCTCACTTTTGGTTCTGGAGAACTACATCGGAGGAAAGTTCGTCTCTTGTCGGAGTTACATCGACTCCTACGACCCGTCAACTGGCGAGGTCTACTGCAAAGTGCCGGACAGTGGCAAGGAGGAGGTGGGGATCAAGTTAAAACCATCTGCAAAACCAAGAGGTTGAGATTTGAATGAATCCTTGCATATGTTTAGACATGTTTGTATAAGTCCTGCAGTGTGTTTGCACTAGGCTGGACTGACAGCTTTCTGCAGAGCTGCTGCAGAAGTCTTATTTAAATACAATTTCTTTTTTCTGCTCTAAGCTGCAATATCACAACATTTGCACAAGAATATTTGTTGCATTGACTTGGATTGCTTGTTATTACAAATCCTGTTGTCAGATTTAAAGGCCTTTGACTCAGCAATATTAGTACATTTTAGTGTATGTGTTTTGATGCATGCTTAATCATCCAGGTAGGAAAGTCCCAGAAAGTCTATTGTGTTCATCTAGACATTGCATTATCACTAGGAGAAATTTTTGTCACTCATCCGAGCGACTTCTTCTGTGTCAGGGACTGAAGAGATGAATAGAACAAACTTTCTGAATGAGCTTTGAGGTTTCAGGTTAGTGCGTTGCATAAAATGTGGTTTCAGAAAAAGCCACCTTTGAGCTTTGCAGAGCAAGCAATCAAGTAATCATTAAACACATCAGTTAACTTCAGCTGTTCATGTTTGACCTTCTTCAAAAATGTAGTGTTTTGTTGAAATGCATCCGTGTACATATTATTGTAGTTAAAAATATTCTTAAGTCCTCTGAACTCCTTAGAAATTAATATAAAGGATCATCTTTTTAAGATTTTAAGAGTGTATCAATAAAATGTCACTTAAACAATCCTGCGTATTCTCTCAAAGTGGAATCGAGCTCTATTCTTGGACGTGATCGTGCTTAATTGTGCAGTTTGCTTATACCTCATCTCGTGCCTGCAGGTGGATGCAGCAGTGGCAGCAGCTAAAGAAGCGTTCCCCAAATGGTCTGCATGCAGCCCAGAGCAGCGAGCGAAGATCCTCCACAAACTGGCTGACCTGATTGAGGCCAACCTTGAGGAGTTTGCACAAGCTGAGTCCAAAGACCAAGGTTGCTTAGACTGTCTTATATGTTGCCACCTTAGAAATCAGGTCACTAATGCAGGAATAGAAATGAGAGGCTCAGAAATCACTTTTTATTAATCAAATACTGATTCGTGAATGTCTAATCTTGTACTCTGTCTCAAAAATGTGTAGGCAACTGCTTCATTTGCCCTTTGATGCTCACTTCAGAATCTTTGTAGGTAAAACGATAACAGCTGCACGGACTGTGGATATTCCTCGGGCAGCGTACAACTTCCGCTTCTTTTCGACATCCATGCTTCACCACACCACCGACTGCAGCACAATGGACCACATGGGCTGCCTGAACTACACTGTCCGCTGCCCCGTGGGAGTGGGTGAGCACTTGGGCTGCTTGCAGTGAAACCTTCCGATGACCCATTTGTCCTGTGTATGTGCTCTTAAATGGCCTTTGTTGTTTTTTTTAGCTGGTTTGATCAGTCCCTGGAATCTGCCCCTGTACCTTCTGACCTGGAAGATTGCACCTGCAATCGCTGCAGGCAACACAGTGGTGGCCAAACCCAGCGAGATGACCTCTGTGACCGCCTGGATGCTGTGCAAGTTGATGCAGCAAGCAGGTAGGACTACAGGATCCACAGTGCAATGTCATGCAGATGGAGTTAAAGCAAAGCAAAAAACATAACACATTAAGGTATTTTTTTTTTAATCTGCACATAATGAACAGATATGAGTACATTGGTCCCTCGTTTCTTGCGGGAGTTACGTTCCAAAAATAACCCGCGGTAGGTGAAATCCGCGAAGGAGCCAACTTTATTTTTTACAATTATTATAGATGCTTTGAGGCTGTAAAACCCCTCACTACACACTTTATACACTTTTTTCACACAGGCACGAACATTTTCACACTCTCAAAGTTCAGACCGTAGAAAAATAAGACCAGTATTATAGAATGAAACCGCGCAAAACGTTTCGTCGACATTTTTGTGATTGTTGGGGAGAAAACTTACAAACATACTATGTATACATGCTAGCGAACGAAGATTTATCTAAATTTGACAAGCTGAACGCATTCTGTACTGCACAGACACCGCACGAGATTGATTGAAATTGTCTTCAGCCAATCAGGACGCAGAACACAATGCACTGTTAAAAAAAAGAAGAAAAAAAAGGAAAATTACACAAAAAAACGAAATGTGAACCGCGTTACAGCGAGGGACCATTGTAGTGCGAAATTAATCAGTGGCCTGCAATCGTCTTCATCTCTTTAGGTGTTCCTCCCGGTGTCGTCAACATCGTATTTGGCAGTGGTCCAAGAGCCGGTGACGCGCTTGTTAGTCACCCCGAGGTCCCTTTAATCTCCTTCACCGGGTCCACAGCCACCGCCCAGCGCATTACCGAGCGGAGCGCCCCCTACTGTAAGAAGCTCTCACTGGAGCTCGGAGGCAAAAACCCAGCTATTATTTTTGCTGACGCAGACTTAGACCAGTGCATCGAGACCACCGTCCGATCCAGCTTTCTCAATCAGGTGAAGTCAAAATGTGACTTTTTTTTTCTTTAGGTCTGTTTAGCTTTATTTATTTTATTTATGGGTACCATCACTTTTAGTTTTGGCTTTATATTATAAACTCAATTGACAGGACAGCTGCCCGAGAGTCTTTAGAGCTTCTGTGTCCACAGATTGTTATTTTAACTGGAAATTTGTTGGGGAATGTGCTGCAGTGAAGCACATTTTTACAGAACGAAAAGTTCAAGAAATCATTTCTTTATTACAAGGTTATTAATCTCATGCTCTCCAGATCATAGCTGGAAATATTTGTTGTCAGTTTAGAAGTGTTAAAGTTAATCTTTTTTTGTACTGAAATGTCACGGTGGGTGTTTTAAATATACGTTAGATTGAAGAATCCGTCACAACCTAACATGATGAGTTTGATTTGATATGTATAAATTGCCGGTGTGCAAAAAAAACTGTAAATTAAAGCCCAGAAGGTCCATTTTTAATACATACTTAACAGGGATTTTATTTTATTTTTTTTCCAAATTTGCTTTCATTGAACTTCTTAATGCAAATGAAATGAAGGTGATTATCTGTAACAGGAGCTTCTGTATGTGTTGAGGGTGTAATAACATAGTTTGTCCACAAGGGGGCAATCACAGCCCAACTTTTTGTCTTAAGGTGGGTTGTCAAAAAACAACTTTCTGAAGTCCTCCATTTTTATCTTCTCCATTTCTTCTCCTCTTAGGGAGAAGTCTGCCTGTGTACCAGCAGGATTTATGTAGAGAGGAGTATTTA